CTCACCGACTCCCCCCATTCGCGCTGCGGTTCCCCGGCCCCGCCTGGGGCATGTCGCAGCGGGTTATCTTTCGGCCGAGCTCCAGCTGCGCGCCCCGCTGGGGGAAGGTGAAGCTCTGCCATGCCAGAGCCTCGGGTTTTGGAAAAAACCTCGCGGGATTCGCTCGCGACCAGGGGACGTCGTAATATCAAAACCCCTCAAGGGCATTAAAATGGCACACCCGGAATTCTGTGAACAATCAAAAAGGCGGCGAAGCCGCCCATGTATGGCAAGGGGATTCTCCCTTAGCCCGGGGTTTGATTGTGGCTCAAGTGTCGAGTTTTTGAGGAGCGGGCTCGAGATTGCGAGCTGGCCAAACAAACAACGAAGTTCGGCGGCCCTTGCGCGTGGCTTGCTGACACTCTCAACAGGCATTGATCAGGATGTGCAGGTTCTTTGGGACTCACGGATTGTCGTAATGCCTAGCAGAGATGATGATTGCTATAGAGAATTGGGTTGCGAAACAAAAAAAAAGATGGCACCATTCCCCACCCGCTCCGTTGGTTTAGTCATCCCCGTTACCCACAGCAAGGGCATGTGCCATCTGCTTTCACTCTGGTGTAGTGGCAAAAATTAAGCGCCGGGCTCGCAGCAGCGCATCATACTCTGGCGCCAGTAACCTTTTCCTCAGTGCACCAGTTCACCAACAACTACCGTCCTTTTCCCTCAAAAGTGGTGGCTTTCGGTTGCTTCACTTCATCCCAAGCTGAAAAGGTTGCTTCACTCTCTCACACACACACACACTTAAGAAAGCATAACCCCCCCCTTGAGACACGATATAGCACTGCTATTGGAGTGTTATAGCACTGTTAAAGTATTTGGCTTTGAAAGGGTTCCCCACTGACTGCCGGCGCGACAAGCGCTGGAAAATGACACCCACCACTGCGCTCATGCTCGTCCCGCGCGCATTCCCCGTCCCCCAGCCCTTCCCGTCCGCTCCCCCGAAGCTTCAGAAGGCCGTAAGTCTTCCGCAAGGCTTCCGGAAGCTTCCGGAAGCTTGCGGAAGCTTCCGGAAGCCTTGGGAAAGCTTCGGGAAAAAGGGGGGGGACCACCCTTGTTTCATCCCAATTTCCCCCCCTTTTGCCCGAAGCTTCCCTAAGGCTTCCGGAAGCTTCCGCAAGGCTAGCTTCCCCAAGGCTTCCGGAAGCTTCCCACCTATTTGGCGCAAAGTGGGGGGTAAGGGCGGGGGGGGGGGTAAAGGGGGGGGGGGGTTGAAGCTTCTTAACGTGTCACACACACACACCCACACACATACATGGCTGTGCTCGTCACAAGCTAGTACCAAAACGGCACCTGGGTAAATAGAACCAAAGACTAAAACCTGCGTGATCCTTGCTATTTTACTTGGAGCCACATCCGCATGGGTCTGAGACTCAAAAAGAGCGTAAGTGGCCATGGGTCAACATCCCAATCCCCAATAAAATAGACTAAAATGGGTGGTGCACCTACCCCAAAATGGTACCATTGGTGTTGACCCACGGCCACGTTTTCTGCGTGGAGGCACATGGTCCGCTGCAGGGACACGTTTCTGCACAGGTCCGTGCGGTGACCCAGGCGGAAGTTCCGGCGCTTGAAGATCACCTCCTGGGGCCATGTTCGGAAGACACCCCCCCCCAGGTGGTTGGCAAGGCTGGCGCAAAAGGAAAACACTGAAATAGATAGCTGTGGGTCCCAAACAGGTGCTGGTATGTGGAAGCATGGACAAAAACCTGCGGTCCCGTTCCCTAGTGGTTTAAAATGTTGACCCATACACAAATGGCTGTGGCGCAAATAAATGTACCAAACTGGCACCTTGTTAAATGGAATCAAAGAAAAAAACACCTGCGTACCCCTAGCTCTTTCATTTGGAGCTGAACCCCACATGGCCATGGTTCAAAACCAAGGGTACCATTTTGTGATAGGTGCACCACCGATTTTAGTCCATTTTAGTTCACTGGGGGTACGATTTGGGTTTTGACCCATGGCCAAATGGTTTCAAGGAACACCCCCACGGAACTGCCCCCCCCCCCCCAGAACGCCTCAGGGAAGGGCTGCGTGGCCCCCAGCCACTTGGCCACATGGGAGTAGGTCTCCAGCGGGGCGTCCCGGAAGCTGGCGCGGTGCAGCACCAGCAGCCGGTCGTGCCCGAAGAGGGTCATGAGCTCCATGAGGTGCCGGGAGATCCTTACGAAGGCGAGGTCCAAATGCTACTGTGGATGGACAAAATCCATTTTGCACCGCTTTGAAACCATGGGAAAGCAAATGTTCGTTGGTATTTCCAGGGGAATCATCTTTCCAGGGTTTCTTAGGTGGTGCAGGATTTCGTCCATCCACAGTATGTCTTTTTTTGAGTGGCACGGGAAGCCACCCTTTTTCAGGTGCCCAACACAAGTTGTGCTAGTAATGAAAATGGTTGCGCCTACCAAGGTTGAACAGGAAACGAGACCTTTTCAAAACCGCCCACCCAATGTTTGTTGTGCTAGTAAAAAGAGCAACGTTTACCAAGGTTTAACGTCCTGGTTCCCAAATGCACCAAGAGCAGCAAATGTCTGCAATATCAAACATCATTCCACTCATAAAAGGTAGGCTGAGATTCATTCGTTCGAGCAGCCAGCCTTTATGCTGCCTGCTAGACAGTGCTCGTATGCTTCTATCACAATCCTTTCTCGCCCTGTGCTTGCTCGGGATCGTGTCGGCCCTCAGAACAGCCGCTTCCACATCATCATGACAGTAGTGATAGATCATAAACTCCTTCTCGATGCGGCCCAGAGGATCGCAGACGACCAGAATCAGCTTCATCCTCCTCAGAAGCCATATGGTGTAGTAGGACAGGGGGTAGGTGGCTATGCCTGGATTCTTGAGCCCCAGCAGCCTGCTGGAGGAGTTCTTACCCGCATACCGGGAGTGGTGAAAAGCCACTTGCTCTCTGGTGGGCACGAACTTGTTCTGCTGGCCCTGGCCGAAGATCGTGTAGTCCTCGCCGGTAGCCCCCGAGGTGAAGTCGATCTCCGGGTGCTGAAACAGGCTGCTCTCCACGGAGGTGGTGCCACACCTCCGTTTCTGTGAGCCAAGGCAAGCGAGCCCGGAGAAAGAAGCTGCGGCGCAAGGGCTCCGACTCAGCCGTCAACTCAAAGATTTCCAGATTTCCACTCCCCCCCCAAACCAGAAAGCAGCCTTTACTCAGTTGGCCAGAAAGCACGAATAAGAGGAGTGGCAACGGCTACATCTCCCCTTGGTTTCACTGGGTTCACTGCCAATAGGCATCCATGTCCCAATTTTGAGAGATGCATACCCAAATTCGTGGCCGGAAAGACCACTGTGCTAGTGTGACGGGCTGGCACATCGAATAGCTCACACTGTGCCATGGCCAAAACTTCTCATGTAGGTCATGTGATCTGTTTCTAAAACTCCCCGTAAGGGAGCCAGCCCTACAAAAAGAAAAGGTCTTCTGACCCTGGCACGTGAACCTAGGCATTCAAGGAAGGTCCGGAGTGCTTCGTTGCAAAGGGTGCATGACTATGCCAACCAGGACAAGGAGTCTTTTGCCCATGGCGCATATGAGTTTCAACATGGTGGAGTTTGTTGGAATTGTCTGAAGGGAAACCCAGAGAAGAAAAATTGGGGACACTATTTTGAGAAACCCCCGAAACAAAGAAAAGCAAAAAACCAACCCCCGTTCAACGGCAAACCTCGTCGCGCCTGGCGAGGCCTGCCACCACGAAGTCTACGCGCACGTTGGCCCAGTCCCCCAACTCCACGACGGAGGCCAGATCCGGGTCCGGCGCCAGCACCCGCTCCACCTGGAAGCGAAGTGACTTGGAGAGGACCCCAACCGCAAGTTGAAAAAGAGCGGAAAACGCGGGAAGCATCGGGAAACACGGGGAACCCGGGAAACCTTGCTTTGGAGAGAAGCCAGGAAGAACACACTGCAACCAGCGGCCAAACAAGAATGGAACTACAAGCAGCAAGCACCGAACAACAACCACAACAGAAGAACGAACTGCAAACAACAAAAAGCAACGATATCCAGCAATCACCAACAACCACAAAAAACGACAAGGACGACCACGACCACGACCGCGACTAAAACTATGACCAAGACCACGTCCATGACGACCATGACGACAGACACAAACCGCATCTTCCCAAGCTGGTTTCCTCCATAAAGCATCTCGTTACATCTCAAAATGCAGAAGACACCTGACTTTAGAGAGAACGCAGAGGACGCCCACCGCAAGGCTCCACAAGGAAGTTGGTTTGCCACGGGGCCCACTTTTGCCACACCTCCAAGTGGCAAATGTCGGCGATCAGATATCGAAGCGCAGCTGGCGCAATGGTTTTCTCCGTGCACGAGCTGGGCGCACAAAAGACCCCGTAGAGCACTGAGCCATCCGCGTCCTCCGGGTTGCTGAAATCCCGGGCCACGCGCTGCGCCAAGTCCGGCGCCGAGACTCGCAAGCGCTCCAGGTACCAAAACAAATCGAAGCCCAGCTCCCAAGCTCGGCCGCCCAAATTAAAACAACACCGGACGGCCTCAATGGACTCATCGATCAGGGTCAGCAATGTATTCCGGTCTGCGCTATGCACTCCGGGTCGGAAGGTGTTGGGCATCCCTCGCAAGCAAGAGTGCCTCCAGGAGATCAAATGTCCCCCACGCTGTGCCCCACCCAAACTGCCCAAAAGAACCTGCCTGAAAGCGGAGTAGTCCTCCAGGCATGCAGCCGAGGCTGCATGCAAGATGCCAGCAGCCCAAAGGCGGAGAGAAGATTGGGCCATAGCTGAATTGTGGTGCAAACGGCAGCTGAACGGAAGGAAGCTGAAATGGCCATGGGTCAAAATCCCGTACCCCCAGTGAACATCCCAATCCCAACTAGAATAGAGAAAAATGGGTGGAAAATGGTACTATTGGTTTGGACCCACAGCCAAATCGGATAAGCCCAAAGGTCAAGAAGAACTGGACAGGTCAAGTCGCCAAGTCTGGCCTCCAGGGCGGTCTGCATGGCACGCTCTTGCTCACCAACCTCGAGGAACACCCTGCTGGCCTCAGCCGGCCGAGTCTCAAATGGAAATCGGAATGTGGCCATGGGTCAAATCCCGTACCCCCAGTGAACATCCCAATCCCCACTAAAATAGGTCCTAACATGGGCGGTGAATTCACCTACCCCAAAATGGGATCCCATTGGTGTTGACCCACGGCCATGCGTCAAAATAGGGCCAACTCCAAAAGTTGTTTCATTCCCCTGGCTTCCCCTTACCAAGCGGTAGTCTCACTCCGAGAAGTCCACCGCAAGAAGCGCCTTGGCGCAGTCTCTGCGGAAGCCTCGCAACTCGAGTTCCATGGATCTGATGTCCATCCAACACCGCACACGAAGTGTACTTGGCAGCTCCGGTGCCAAAAAAAAGCACAAAACTATTCTGGCGATGCGCGCAAGTCGCGCTTGCTCGAAAAAATCGCACTTCTTCAGTACAAGCGTGGTACACAGAGAACATGTTGGCAGCTCTCGGCAGATGAACAAATTGGTAAATGAAGCTGCAACCGAATCGTGGCCGGTAACCAAATGCCTACGGGCTCCTTGTGGGACTAAGGGCGTCGATCGCCCTAGATCGGGTTTCCGTTAGATTGCTCTCCCGCTCTTCTGATAGGTCACGATTCATATGATAGAAAGGTACGGTTTTGCGAGGCGTATCGGTTCTGCCTATTTTCCAGTGGTGAAGGTCTCCATATACTCCATTCATCAACAGCTGGGTACTTATATGAAGCTGGAGCTTGCAGAACTTGCCCATGTTTGCAAACGTGCATGAGCCTGGCAGGCGGAAAAAACAGAAAGAAAGAAGAAAAAACAACTCCAAATTGTGCGGCAGTGAAATAAACGCTGGAACCCTGCCTCTTTCTGTCACTCACAAACCCACAAAGCATCCCAAGACCAAGCCCGTCCGAATCCGACTCCGACTCCGACCCCGACTCCGACTCGGCGACTCCGGAGTCGACTCCGGGCCTCGCTCCGCGAGGTCCTGGGGCGCCTGGGAGGCCAGCGTCACCGCCTCGGGCAGCTGCCCCAGCTCCAGGTGGGCCAGCGCCTTCGTTTCCAACGTTCGAAGGCGCGCGTCGCGAGGAACTCGGGTGCTGGACGTCTTACGCGGTCTTTGCTTTTTGTTTTTCATGTTGGGGACCATGTTTTGAGCCATGGCCCGAAATGGCCGATCTGCAGAACGGCGGGAGTTCGAAGCTGTGCTTCAAGGAGGAGACGTGGCTCGGGATTTGATTGAGACTCTGGGACTCTAGCAGAGGCGGCGCGGGCGGCTGCTTCACCGATCCTGAGGCACCGGTCACTCCAAACAGCACCGGATTTGGAGAACCTAAGGACCAAACAGGTCGCCCAACTCCTGGCAGACAGGTGCTGTCAGCTGCTCTCCCCAGAAATGCGGCTTCTCCTTGAAGGCGCCGGCGGCCGCAGTGGCCGCTGCCAGTGCCTGGCTTTCGAAACGGAGAGGACCCGGCCCTGCGTCCGAGCTCGGCCTCCACCGGCCGTCCGCATGCCAGGTGCAACTTGGATGCCTGCGGCCAAGTTGTGAAGCTCGGCCAGGACGGCCCGGCGTCTCAACTTGACTTTGGATCCTTGTGCTCACCATGTTGACCGAAAGTTGCCAGCACTTTTTTGCCCATGGCGATAATTTGTGTCTGGGAGCTAGACTAACGCAACGCCCTTCTTTGGCAACGCATGGTCTTCTCCCTGCAAGGCAGGCTTGACCCTTTGAGGCGTGAGAACACAGAAGTGAGGGTGCAACATGCTTTCCCAGTGAGGGCACCTCACGCCCCCAGAGCCTTCCGGCATCCTCCGCACTTGAAACTGCACATTAAATCAACCCACCACCTGACCTAGGACAGTTGCCTGGCCGGATGATGCAACTGTACAGCGATGGCAATGCAAAACCCTTGGAACAATCGCAACCTTGGCAACCTCCAGAAGCTCTTCGCTCCTGAGGCTGACGCCATGCAAAGGCCTTCTATGCTTGGCCTGTAAAACAATGGTCCGTGGAAAACACCTGCCCGCGAAGTGCACTTGTGCGGCGCAGCAGTCTTGGGGGGAAAGGCATCACATCCAGCCAGATGAAACGGGAAGACCCGCCAAGATCATGGTGCCCTTCGCGCACAACCGTCTAAGGGGACCTAGAGTGGCCACGTGGGCTGCGCAAAGGTAGTACTTACATGACGATAAATAGGGCGACTGTGGCCAACCTTCAAGTTGACAATCCCCTGTACCCATATGCCGCCCTGTGGCACTACTACGAATCACAGAGCCGCGAGACTCGTGAGGCTCGCGAATTCTCCATCGCTTTGGCACCAGTGTCTAGACTGAGTGCAACGCTGGCCACAGCCACGTGCCGGCCGGCGAAGCTCTGTGCCATGCATCTCACCGGCTGAAACCTCTGGAAGGCTGCTTTCTGTGATGACCTCGTGGCGATTTGGCTAGCCCTTTGTTTGTGAGAAGCTGAGAGAAGGTCCTGATCTCACAGTACGGCCCTACCCACTCAGAGCTGAGTGCACTACCAGCCTCCCAACACGTGCAGCGATTTGTGAGGCGGTGAGCTCTTGCTTTGTCAAGATCCGCAGATCCGCTGCTTTGTCACTCGGCGGAAACTGTGTAAGAGTTAACATTCTTTGAAACTCAGGAACTGATCTCCACTCGATTGCCCTGGGTATTTCCCAAACCCGGAGCTTTGCAAAACATTGGGGTCGCAGGTCGCAGGTCGCGTGTACGAAACAAGCCATCCCCATGGACAGTGTTCATGAGCCTGCGCGACAATCTGCTTGGATCCGTACCAAACTTCGATACACCGCGCACCTCCCCTCGCGACGAAACGCAAGCCTTGCGGCCCGCGGAACGGCATCTGCCGGTCGCCCGCAGGCCACAGCACAAGATCCTATGTGATCAAAGCCTTTGCCGGAACATAATGTCCAAGTCCAGTTAGAATGCTCATACGACATGTCTGCAGGCGCTGAAGCCAATTCTAGTATCAAGTGTCAGTCTACGATTGAAGTGTACTGCCTTGGCAAAAAACAACAGTTACCCACCATCGTTCGAGCTGTCTGTACTGATCCCCATGGCTTCAACGCGAGCAGCAGCAATAGCAAATGTCGGACGAGCAGCCTGATTTCAACGTAGTCCGCTGCCGAATTCTTGGAACTACAAAAACAACATATCTGAGTGAATGGGTCTACACAAGCGGCTCAAGACACCTCACAGATCCAAGAGTTCTCAATGGACTTCTCTCTAAACGTATAAACATGCTCAGCGCAAAAATGCAGGAGCTGGATTTGGGGACTGTCTCCGATTCATGGCTGAATTTGCATGCCCCTGCACTGCAGCTGTAAAACCATCTTCAGAGCTGCCTGTTCAAGGCTAAAGTATCTGTTCAGCGATTGGCTGGGCCCTGGTCATTCCCGAGGCCCGAATTCAGCCCGACCACTTGCCCAACTCACAGGACAAATCGTGGCGGTTGCAGAAGGAACTCACTCAACTGCTTCTTGGCAGGCCTGGGCAAAAGCCAGGCAGGCGTAACTAAAGAAAGACCAGGAATGAAACCTAGTCCTAGGACATGAGGGCTAATGGAATTGGGGCAATCGCATCCATTCGCTCCTGCAACTGCCATCTTTTTGGGAATGTTTGGATTGCTGTGCACTTTGAGCCATGAGATGCAAGTCTTGTCAATGAGTCAAGTCACATACTGGGGTCGAGCATCTGAACTTCCTGGCAGGTCACCAAGTCCCTCTGAAGCAAACACGGCAGAGAGGCCAAGCCAAGATCGCAATGCCAAGCCTGGGCAAAGATCATCAGCTCCGTGGCCAATTCCGGGAAGTGCGGTACGCGCTTCTTGGCTGGCCTCGGCTCGCACAAACCCACGCCATGTCCGCCTTAAGGCACTCGGAGCCAGGCAGCCGCCATTCCACTGAGATCTCAGGCCTTAGCGACACAAACGTGAACAAGATTCCACGGCTGCGTTGCAGCCAGGCAGCACTGAAGCCTTCGGAGTGCAAGAAGGCTTGGCCTGTCCCAGGGAGTCGTGGACCTGCGAATCCCAATCCATGAAACCAAAACGAGGGAAACGGGACCTGAGAAGGCAAATCCCACTGCCAATGCCTTGCCTTTGCACCGGATGTCGCAGTTGGACCTGGAACAAGGGTATCCTCATTGCGGGAACTGTCAGCAACTAACATCAGCACGACGCAGGCCTCGGTTTGGCTTTGGGCCACCTTGCAACACGAGCAAGGTGAACGCAGTCGCAGGCTGCAACAATCTCAATGCGCGGCAGGGTCCCATGAATTAGTTGCCATCTGTCTGCAGGCCAGGTACGCTTTTGCAACTCTCGGGCCTGCAATGCGAGACCGCAAGCCGTCGAGTGAGCAACTTGGACCAAGAAGGCAATGGCCACAACGAATCTGCCTTCAAGCTTGGAGCAGTAACCGGAGTGCTCGGAGTGCTCGGAGTGCTGCTCGGAGTACTGGCAGGAGTGCCTGGCACAGCACAACTCCGGCCTCGGAATTTAGCAAGCTTTGAGGAAGCTGGCACCTCGACATTGTCTTGTTTTGCCTAAGAGCCCATTGGGCGGACACCAAGTTCTGGGTGTACTTCCCATGTGTTGAAACTCTCAGTCACTGTTTGGCTACGTAAAATTGGGGCCCGGATTTCTGTTCGGCCCCGTGTAGGCAGAAACACGTTGAACTCAAGCCCGAGTGTCTTGCCAGGAAATGTCTGCCACCCTCAACCTGGCGAAGGAGAATTATTATTGTTTTCCTTGACCCTTCCCAATTTGTTCTCAACAAACCAAAACATGCCTTGGCGCTTTGCAGCTCGGCGTGTTCACAGCATTGCATTTGGGGAGCACGCCGCTAAAGCAAGCGGAGCGCCAAGAATCTCACCCAGCCAAAAAAAGCAGTGCCCGTCACGCTCGCCATGCAACCCACTGCAAAGTCGTTGGAGCAGCTTCCCAGACTCGCCAGTACGTCATGTAAAGCCGGCTCTGCATTCGTGCCGGAAGGGTCTGGTTTGTTGTGGAGACTGGGACATGATTCCTCCAACCTTGCATGCTACAGAAGCGGCCAATATGTCGCTTCCATCAAGAACCGGAAAGCTGGGAAACGATCTCTCCGGCCTGGTGTCGACTTCCGGAAAACTTGACCAGGCGACAGGCCTAAATGCAGCCCACTTGCAGAGTCACAGGTAGGGAAATATCCAAAGAGGTGTGGAACATTGTGTCGCTTCCCCCTGGTCCTTGCCGAATCAGTCCGGGGCTTACGGTACGGCAAGCTCTGGACGTCAAATGTCAGGCTATGGCTCTCTGATTGCTGCCCAGAAGCTGCATCGCTCAGGCATGTCCTGCAAGCTGCTGGCCAGGATGATTCAGGATGCTCTTAAAGTTGCAACTATGGTCCGGAAAAAGAAAATGGGAACTGAGCAACACCATTCACCCACTTGCGTCGCTCCTGTCCACGGCAGATCTGGCCTGGTGGCAATGGTTGGCACCTCAAAGAGTGCGCAGTGTAGCGCACAAAAAAGGCGTACCCTCCCACCAACTAACATGGAAGTGCAAAAAGGCCCTTTCCAAGACGAAAGTAGTCTTTCTAGAGGGGTCTGTCTGTGCACTTCCATGTTAGCTGGTGGGAGGGTATCTAACAAACATGTCCATCACAAACTGGGTACTGCACGGCCAAAGCAGGTCCATAGACATCTCCTGCGAGGAGCGACCTGATCCAAGGCCGTCTTGAATCCGCGCTGAGAGAGAAACAAGCTCGTGTAGTTTATACGCTGCAGTGGGCGGGCCCTAGTCAGAGCTCGCCAAAAATAGACGATTGCCTTATCAGAGCAGACTTTCCTAAGCTTGTGGAGTTGGGATCGTCGGAGCCAACACACAAAGGTCAGAGGAGCTCATCAAAACAGGAACCTGCAGTGAACGGACGGGGGCCGAGCTGCAAACGATTGAGACATGGCAGAGGCCGCAGCCAGAGTCGGAGGTTGACCCAGCATCTGTCGTCTCAGTCTCCACACTCAGCTGAGCCTGACGAGCAATCTCGGGCGAATATCAAGAGTCGGGTGATGTTTCCTGCAATCACCTTGCGCCACATGAGAAGCTCTTACTTCTGTGTGTGTTTTTGAAGGGTTGGTTCGAAGGTAACCAAACGAAAAGGCAGAATTTTGGAGGTCCTCTGTTTGGACACATTGCCCATGTATCATTCGGCAACACGAAGCTGGCCTTCATGTGCCGCCTTGGCTTTCGTGTAGGTCGGCCCTGCAAATGAGGGCAAAACCAGGCGCAAGCACGCTCGAAAATTGTGTGGGACAGGGGAGAAACCTGCATCTGGTTGGGACATCACCAAGCCTGCGGAGTTGGCTTCGAGATCATGGCCATCAGAAGGCCTGGATCCAAGGCATTCAAACTAGATCGAAGCACGTCTGGGCAAAGTCAGCACTTAGTGGGGTACCCAGCGGGTGTTCTGGGCAATGGGAAACTTCTAGGAACTGCGGCGCAGTTCAGCCCTCACACTGCTCACAACTTGAGCCGAAAGGACGTTGCGAACTGTGGTTGGGCACTGAAGACAAAGCGCGATGCTGCAATCGGACAAATGCATCTCAAACCAAAGGAGCCGTAGATCAAATCTCTCTCTCTCTCTTCACTCACAAACTCCCTAGGATTTGTGCAAAATGTCGCATTGCTTGGCCTCCACCTTTGCAGCAGCCACGCCCTCTTTGGGAAGCCTCTGACAGTTTGGCATTTGCGCGCGGAAGGCACAAACTGGGGACCCAGCTGCTGTTTCATAGCGTCCTCCACCTCTGGAACCTCCGGGGGGGGGCACTAGACCGGATCAGCTTGCGCGGACGCATGCGAGCTGCCTGCAGTAGACCCTGCTGCAGCTTGGCATCGGCCATGTCCAGAGTCGCCCACGCTTGCCCCTGCCTTTCCGGCAGCTCAGCCGGAAAGAGCCCTCGAGCTTCTTTTTTTGGTGCGCGCCTCTGCCCGAACTTGGCTGCGGCGCTGAGTCGATCATGGATATCCTGCAAACATGGCGGAAGGTACATGGGACCTTCATCTACCCGCTCCGACGTGCTCCGGCTCCTGCAGATCTTGCGTCGTGCTGCCACTGCCCTGAAGCCTGCCATGGCGAAATGGTGGCAGGATGTCTTGCTCAGCGTTGCTCCCTTGAATCAGATTTTTGCACGGTGTATGAATGCCAACGTACTCGATGTCATGTCAATCCCCTTGGAATCAACAAACTGCACGGTCTGCGCGGCCAGAATTGTTTGGCGCCTTCGGATGCTCGAAGCAGCATCAGCTTCCCCAACGTGGATGCCATGGCGCTTCGCGAGAGCCAGGAACTCGTCCACGGCCTCACCCCCCACCCGCCCCCCATCCGGTTTTGGACCGCCTTGAACCACATGCAGCTGGGATGGAAGACCGGATGTATCTCAGGATCTCGCAGTCGCCCCAGGGCTGCCCTGGGGCCCATCCATGCAAGGCCGAGTGTGGAGCTGACCAAAAAAAAACGGCACCCTCAGCCGGGTGTTGGCAAGGCTGCCCGCCTTGGGCTGCAATGCAAGCGTCAGAGTCAGCAGCGCAAATGCCTCCAGCCACCTGGCTCAAGCGACACCCAGCGCTCAAGCGACACTTCGATGCCTCGCCTATTCTGCTTGAGCTTTGCCTGCTCAAGGGCAGCACGGGCCTTTGCTGTGTCCTGAAAGGAAAACCAGGGGTTTGGCATCCATCAGCTTCTTTATTGCAGATTCACCTTGTCCAAATGGTTCTCTATTGGCTTGGTTCCATGTTCATCTGCCAGGGAAAATTGGAGGCTGTGCCCACTCCAAGTCTCCTTGGTGGCATCCTTTGCCAAGCCGAGAAGCAAAGCCTTGCCAAGACCCTCTGCTCGCCAGAATTGGAAGCTAAAAGCATACGCCGAACTTTGCTGCCAGAGCGCAGTCTCCCCCCAGGTAGCCCCGATCTCGCGCAGCAAGGCCATTGCATCCGTCCCTTCCTGCGAAGGGAAAGCTCGCCATGGAACAAAGGCAAACCACAAGCTTCCAACCAAAATCCGGCAGGACGCTTTCGAACCCTGGTCCTTGCTCCCCAGGAGTTTGGACTTGACAAGCGCCAGCTTCGGCGCTGCCTGACGAGCTCAAGTTAGGGTGTGAATTCTGGGAGGGCCCGGGCGTTTAAACAGAAACCGAAAGGGAATTCACCATCTTGGGGTCGTCCGAGTTTGAGACAAACCCGCTTGGACTCCATGTTGCAAAGCGCCACTCCCAAATGCGGACAACGAGCACGGCAACAGAATGTTGCCAATCCTCCTAGACCAATGTGCCTACTGTAAATGTCACCGATAAAAAAAAGGCGCCCCAAGGGCCTCCCGAAGTGTGCCGCTGAAGGCTTTTGCCAAGCTGCACGCCTCAGGAACAAAAGATCGGCGTGTTCTCTCGAAAACCTCGACGCGCCTCGTCTGCTCTGAACTCGGCCTTTGTAGCCTTGGTGCAACTTACATCGTGACTCGGGCAGATGCAAGTTCTACTTGCTGGTGCGATGGGTAGGGAATGACCGTTCCGGGTTCTGGGAATGGACTGGAAGGGGGATTCCTTTCAAGGAAACCAGGGGGATGGTTGGGTATCCCTCATTCCCTGAGAGCCAGCAAGTCTATGCAAAATGCAGATGATCAGATGTAAAGCCACACGCTGAGCTGCAGTCATCCCCCAGTGCGACATACGCCTCGACGCAGGAGCAGAGCGCAGACATCTCAGCCACCTGGAGAAGCAGCGGACTCCAGCGGGAAGGAATTTGAGTTGGAAAAAACCCTTTGCTGGACAAGGGGATTTATCTTGCTGGTTTAGGGTTGCTTTCGGGTTCCTTTAGGGTTGGCTTGGGCTTGGTTTTAAGGTGGTAATAGTTTTCGTGGCGGCTTAGCAGAGCGCAGCTGACAATGAGTTTTCCGAGGTCCAAGGTCCGAGGCCCGAGGTCCGAGGTCCGAGGGTCCGGGGTCCGAGGTCCGAGGGTCCGGGGTCCGAGGTCCGAGGTCCAAGGTCCAAGGTCCGGGGCTCTAGGTCGAGGCCCAAGGTCGTCCAAGGACCGAGGTCTGCGGTCTGTTGCTTGTTGCCAACCGCTTGCTGCGTGTTGCGTGTTGTTGGTTGCTTGCTTGCTTGCTGCCAGTTGCTAGTTGCTCGTTGCTTGTTGTTTGGCGCTTGCTACGTTTTGGGTGTTGCTCTTTGCTCCTTGCTGGTTGCTCTTGTTGTTTTCTCGTTGCTAGTTGCTCGTTGCTTGTGGCTCCTGGCTCGTGGCTCGTTGTTGCTCGTTGTCGCTCGTTGTTGCTGTTGTTGTTGTCGTCGTCGTCGTCGACGTCGTCGTTGTTGTTGTTGTGGTTGCGGTCGCGGTCGTGGTCGTGGTCGTGGTCGTCGTCGTGGTTGTTGTTGTTGGTGGTGGTGGTGTTGTTGTTGCTGCTGCTGCTGGTGTTGTTGTTGTTGTCGTCGTCGTCGTTGTCGTTGTCGTTGTTGCTGTTGTTGGCTCAACGGGGGGGGTGTTTGCCCGGGGTTTCAGCAGCGCGACATACTGTAAAACGCAGCACGTCGGGCATGTGACTTCCACCTCGTCCCGTTTTCATCAGGACATTTGGCTGTTGGCAGGGTCGAAACAATACCTGCGCTCGTTGTCTTGTCATCAGTGCGTTGAAGCCTTGTGACACACGATGCTCTGGCACATACCGCGGCAGGTGACCGTGCGACGTGCTGTAAAACGCTGCAAAGTTTACACATATCATTGGGCATGCGCATTTCTTCGCAGAGATGACCTGCGCTTTTGTTTGACATCTTCATGTCAGCATGATGTTGTTACTCGCACGTCGGGCATCGTTTTTAAACAAACATCGCGACTGCGACTTGGAAATCACGGGCCAGCCCCCCATGCCCGTCTTGTTGCTTTAAAAGCTGCCAACTCGCAAGCACACCGTCTCAAGCGCACCTGTACCCGCGCCACCAACTGATAAGCACACCCGCTCAAGTGCACCCGCTCAGCGCTGTATCCGCGCCCACGAACTGGTAAGCGCCCGCACAAGTCCACCCGCTCAGCACTGCATCCACGCCGCCAACTGCTAAGCACACCCGCTCAAGTGAACCTGCTCAGCACTGCGCACCCGCGTTGTTGTTGCACGTGTTTGTTTCTTTGCTCGTTTGTCTGTGTGCTTGCGCGTCGCGCAGCGGTGCGCACACGCCTGCCGCGCGCTCAAGCGATCCGCAGTTCGTGCCGCAGGACGAGTGGCGCCCAAGCAGCTAAGTTATGGACCAACCTGCTCCGGAGCGCAGCCCACGAACCTACGTGCGCGCCCGATCCATGCAGACCCACGCCATGCACGTGCAGCAAACAGATTGCACCCATGCCTGCCATATCGCCTGACAATCTTTTTGAGGTCTGATGGTAGGACCAAGGTCCAAGGCCCGAGGCCTTCGCGGTCCGAGGCCCTAGGTCCGAGTCCGGGGGTTCGAGGCGCGAGGTCGTCCGAGGCCCCAGGCCCAAGGTCCGAGGTCCGAGGCCCGAGGTTCGAGGTTTCAGGTGCGAGGTCCGAGGTCCGCCGCCGCCGGCTTAGGGTGGGTTTAGTGGTGGTTTAGGGTTGCTTTAGGGTTCCTCTAGGGTTGGCTTGGGCTTGGTTTTAAGGAGGTTCTAGTTTTCGTGGCGGTTTAGGGTGGGTTTAGTGGTGGTTTAGGGTTGCTTTAGGGTTCCTCTAGGGTTGGCTTGGGCTTGGTTTTAAGGTGGTTCTAGTTTTCGTGGCGGTTTAGGGTGGGTTTAGTGGTGGTTTAGGGTTGCTTTAAGGTTCCTCTAGGGTTGGCTTGGGCTTGGTTTTAAGGTGGTTCTAATTTTCGTGGCGGTTTAGAGTGGGTTTAGTGATGGTTTAGGGGTGCTTTAGGGTTCTTTAGGGTTGGCCTGGGTTACTTTAGGGTGCCTTTAGGGTTGGGTTGGGCTTGGTTTTAAGGTGGTTCTAGTTTTTGTGGCGGTTTAGGGTGGGTTTAGTGGTGGTTCAGGGTTGCTTTAGGGTTCCTTTAGGGTTGGCTTGGGCTTGGTTTTAAGGTGGTAATAGTTTTCGTGGCGATTTAGGGGTTTAGTGATGGTTTAGGGTTGCTTTAGGGTTTCTTTAGGGTTGGCTTGGGCTTGGATTTAAGGTGGTTCTAGATTTCGTGGCGGTTTAGGGTGGGTTTAGTGGTGGTTTAGGGTTGCTTTAGGGTTCCTTTTGGGTTGGCTTGGGCTTGGTTTTAAGGTGGTAATAGTTTTCGTGGCGGTTTAGGGTGGGTTTAGTGATGGTTTAGGGTTGGTTTTGGGCCGAAAGCCAAGAAACGTGGGAGGTAAGAAGCCATCAACCAAACATCCAAAAAGCCAAAAGTTGGTGATGCTGGGGTGTTACTGGTGATGCTGAGGATGCGGAAAGCCAAAGCCGCAACGGTCACAAAAAGTAGAGCCAAAAAACAAAAAGCCAATAAGCCTAAAAGCCAAAATGCCAAAAAGCCAAGAAACCAAAAAGCAACAAGCCCAAAGGCAAAAAGCCCAAACTCCAAGAAGACAAAGGCCGAACCGCCAAGAAGCTAAGAAGCCAGACACGGCAAAATCCAGGAAAAAACTTAAAGAAAACCGGAAGAAAATCCGCAACAAGTCCATGTTCGAGAGGTTCCCGTTTCGAGTTCGCCACATCCGACCTTCTGGTCCTCTGTCCCGCCTTGTCTGCCCCTTCGCTGCGCATCGACTCCAAGACCTCGCTGGCGCACCTCGGGTTTCGTTGACGTAGCCTCCCTAAACGGATGCGTCCCCTCGAGATCCGAAGGAGTCCCGCCGCATTCTGCTTTGAGTGCTCAGGCTGCCACTCCAAAGCTCCTGCTGGGTCATCCTGGCGCAATTGAAGCTGGATGGGAGATGGGAGATGGTTGTTCCCATCGAAATCCTCACGAGAGTCGTCTACAACCTGGAAAAAAACATCATGACCAGCCCTTGCCTAGTGGGTCCATGCCGTCGACACCCCAAACTTCTTTGGTCGCGGCGCCTTGAAAAGAGCAATCACGGCTCCCCCCAACTCACCAACCACCGCGACGGTTGACCCCTCGACGTCACAAGAGCTGTCGCTCCTGGCGAAGCAGGGCCAAGGATCGGCCGATCAGCGACTGGCTCATGCCCAGCCCCGGGACCCGGAATTCCGGGAACCCAACAGCTGCTCCTTTGCCCCACCCGTGCACTTTGCAAAAAATTGTGAGACCATGGAAGACATTGGTGGATATTGCAAGCCTCACATGATTGCCCAAGCTTGAGCCATTTCAACAGCACACCAATGGAAAACGGCTGCACATGCTCCGGTCAACTGGCAGGCAAACGGTCTGGCCACCAAACGCGGATGATGATGTGTTGGCAAGCAGGCCTATGGCAGTTCGAGTTGCGCCATCTTTTGAGCAAGCGCTGGTCTATCTAACTGCGAATTCCTGCCGGGAGCTTAAAGCATTTCCCCTTCACCTCACCGGAAGGCACCCCGGCTCTGACGCTAGGCGCTTCAGACAGCTTCTTAGTTTGCCACCTGGCATCGCAAAACAAAAAAGCGGAACAGCGTAGAAGCAGATGGCCGCATCCAATTTGCTTGGGACTGTTCCTTAACCCGAAATTGGCCGGGCTTTGATTGCGGCAGTGGCAATGATTGCTGCAGGAATACCTGAGAAAGCAAAGTTCTCGCGTTGTGTCAAAACAGGAGACAAACGTACAAGTACCCTACAATACAATCAATGCGACGTTGCATCTATGCTGAGCCCCAGATCTGTTTCATTCATCCCTCAGTTTGCATAGCAACACACAAGCATTCGCTTCAACAGCTCAAGTGAGCAGGAAACATCCCGAACATCTCCCAGGGCACCTGCGCACCGCGCCAACTTCAGCATCGCGCGTGGCAGCTTTTCCAGCGCGTTCATGTGTAAGGTGGGACCAGATCCCCCTCGGGACACCTAGGGTACCCACCACCGAATTCAAGCTCGCAACGCCCATATTTAGGCAACTTGGTCGAAAGGCCTCTTCCTTTTCGAAGCAAGCGGGGCGACGCATTAGTTGAGTCATGGGCGCCCAAGCCTGCACAGCCTTGATCTCGGCCATAAATGTATTATGCAACGAATTAGCCTCGGGCCAGTGACTTGTTCATGCAGGCCGGGTTCAGCCGTATCTATTCCAGGGAGTGCGAGCCATGTCGTTTGTTTCCGTGCTCCGGATCAATAAATCTTCCAACGCGGAGATTCATAAGCTTCCAAACATGGGCCACCCAAACGACATGGCACTGTGCACACCCCAGCACAAGTCAGAAATGTGATGGACCGAAGAACTCACCCGAAGGAATCACCGCAACCAGACAGCTAGATCGCTGTGCAATCGTGACATCTGGCAGATCTGCTCCCAGTCCCGCCATCTATGTAATATCTACTTCTCTGATGCTGGTGAGCGACAAAATGGGGAGACATTTTAGTTGAATCTGTGAGCTTGGCCAATGAAGGCCAGTTGAGGAAAAAACACCGAGATTGTTTGCTGACACTCGAATGCAATAATATCATGCATTCCCTTCTCTGTGATACCACTTTTACAACCCTGAAAGGGCAGCTTTGACGACGGCTCATGTCTCCTCAACTGGCCCTGCAACGAATGCCGCTGTGACGATTTCGGCCAGGCAGTAGGAAATGGTGCAAGTCCAGCTATACAAAAAGGTAGGGAAAGAGCATACCCTACCGCCCTGTCTCTTTACAAATGCTGCACCGCTGGCATCCTTCGCAAGGCATGAAATAGCACTTCGTAAACGATCCACTCTATGAGGGGAAGTGTGTGTGTGTGCAGGGATACCAAAGCTTAAGGTGCAGCAAAGACAGGAAAAACAAACGGATAGGTTACACCGGAAATATGTTGAAATAAAAAGCCTGATCAACGGACTTGATCCGGCTCGAGCGCCACTTATACTGAGCTTTGAGACATGCGGAACGATGAGAATCCCGTATCGCCTGCTCAAAGCTTCCTGCTCGCAATTCCTGCGAACAGGCATCGTGGCTTCAAAGGCTGAAAATCGTCAAAGACCCATCGGGATGTTCGTACTTCACGAACGCCGACAGAGAGTGAAGCCCCTGCTCTGCAAGCACTTCGGAAATGCTCTTGCAACGAGGAAAGGCTGGTTCGAATTGACCGGTCCATGCATTCATTTGCTCCATCATCTCGGGAGCTACACATTCTTCAACCATTTCTGCCAACTGAACTCTGCCCCCCTGTTTGAACACCAACGGAGCGCGTGGGTTCTCGACTGCATGTGTTCCACAGCGAGCAAGGAAGTATGCCAAGTTGAGGCCAAGCCCTTGAATGTGTGCCTGGCTAACTCGGGCTCCGGAGCAAATGCTTATTTCATCCTTCCTTAAGCTGTCATATGCAGTCTTGGCAGTTGTGTGGTCGACAAAGTTGATGAAAGCGAGGCTGATGTTGCACTTTTTGCGCCGGTCATAAGGCAAATACACAAAATCGTAGCCAGCTGGAACAACCTCATCCAAAGCCTCCAGCAGTTTAGCCGTTGACAGTCTCGAAGAGAACCGCCGCAGAACAATGGTTGTTGCTCCATCTTCCAATTGAGTTTCGGTGTCAGAAGTGTCAGAAGTCCGTGTCGCACAGATCGACTTAGAGCTCTCCTTGTGGTCATCGAAAACTCCAATCAAAGGCTGGCCTTGCATCTTTGCCTATGCACGGTCCCCGTGCTCAAGATGCAAATGCTTGTGCCAAAAAGCAACGAGGGCATATGGTTGTCAAGGACTGCAAAGCAAGCGCATCTGTCAACCAGTGGACCAGCCACCAGCCAACCAGCCGACCAGCCGTGGTCATTTGTCCTTTCCTGATTTGACTAAGAGGCTTTGAAAACCGCGCAATTTTCCTGGCCACTTGTTCATGCAGGCCGGGTTCAGCCGTATCTATTCCAGGGAGTGCGAGCCATGTCGTTTGTTTCCGTGCTCCGGATCAATAAATCTTCCAACGCGGAGAATCACAAGCTTCCAAACATGGGCCACCCAAACGACATGGCACTGTGCACACCCCAGCACAAGTCAGAAATGTGATGGACCGAAGAACTCACCCGAAGGAATCACCGCAACCAGACAGCTAGATCGCTGTGCAATTGTGACAGGCAGAACTGCTCCCAGTCCCGCCATCTATGTAATATCTACTTCTCTGATGCTGGTGACCGACAAAATGGGGAGAAATTTTAGTTGAATCTGTGAGCTTGGCCAATGAAGGCCAGTTGAGGAAAAAACACCGAGATTGTTTGCTGACACTCGAATGCAATAATATCATGCATTCCCTTCTCTGTGATACCACTTCTACAACCCTGAAAGGGCAGCTTTGACGACGGCTCATGTCTCCTCAACTAGCCCTGCAACGAATGCCACTGTGACGATTTCGGCCAGGCAGTAGGAAATGGTGCAAGTCCAGCTATACAAAAAGGTAGGGAATGAGCATACCCTACCGCCCTGTCTCTTTACAATATGATGCACCGCTGGCATCCTTCGCAATCCACTCTATGAGGGGAAGTGTGTGCGCAGTGATACCAAAGCTTAAGGTGCAGCAAAGACAGGAAAAACAAACGGATAGGTTACACCGGAAATATGCTGAAATAAAAAGCCTGATCAACGGACTTGATCCGGCTCGAGCGCCACTTATAGAGCTTTGAGACATGCGGAACGATGAGAATCCCGTATCGCCTGCTCAAAGCTTCCTGCTCGCAATTCCTGCGAACAGGCATCGTGGCTTCAAAGGCTGAAAATCGTCAAAGACCCATCGGGATGTTCGTACTTCACGAACGCCGACAGAGAGTGAAGCCCCTGCTCTGCAAGCACTTCGGAAATGCTCTTGCGACGAGGAAAGGCTGGTTCGAATTGACCGGCCCATGCATTCATTTGCTCCATCATCTCGGGAGCTACACATTCTGCAACCATTTCTGCCAACTGAACTCTGCCCCCCTGTTTGAACACCAACGGAGCGCGTGGGTTCTCGACTGCATGTGTTCCACAGCGAGCAAGGAAGTATGCCAAGTTGAGGCCAAGCCCTTGAATGTGTGCTTGGCTAACTCGGGCTCCGGAGCAAATGCTTATTTCATCCTTCCTTAAGCTGTCATATGCAGTCTTGGCAGTTTTGTGGTCGACAAAGTTGATGAAAGCGAGGCTGATGTTGCACTTTTTGCGCCGGTCATAAGGCAAATACACAAAATCGTAGCCAGCTGGAACAACCTCATCCAAAGCCTCCAGCAGTTTAGCCGTTGACAGTCTCGAAGAGAACCGCCGCAGAACAATGGTTGTTGCTCCATCTTCCAATTGAGTTTCGGTGTCAGAAGTGTCAGAAGTCCGTGTCGCACAGATCGACTTAGAGCTCTCCTTGTGGTCATCGAAAACTCCAATCAAAGGCTGGCCTTGCATCTTTGCCTATGCACGGTCCCCGTGCTCAAGATGCAAATGCTTGTGCCAAAAAGCAACGAGGGCATATGGTTGTCGAGGACTGCAAAGCAAGCGCATCTGTCAACCAGTGGACCAGCCACCAGCCAACCAGCCGACCAGCCGTGGTCATGTGTCCTTTCCTGATTTGACTAAGAGGCTTTGAAAACCGCGCAATTTTCGTGGCCGCGAGATGAACTGCCTACCTTATCTCATGGTCCAGGACACCAAATCTGATCAATCAGGCAAGCTCAACGGCCATCGCAGGCCTTCTGCAGGCTATCAGCTAGGCGAACCAATTCTTCGCACCTCAGGATTTCGCGTTGCGACGTTGCGAGCTATGGATGGGTTTGCCTCACAAAGAGCCCCTAGGGCGAGGAATCCAACAAACCAGGCTTCCTCCGAAAACCACAAGAAAGAGAACCAAAAACAGACACACGCGTGAGCATGTTGCCGGCAAAAGCAGCGTGCTTGGGGCAATAGCAGCCGCGGATGGGAGCTCTTGACCACAGCACTCTGCGCTTCCTTCTGGAAGGTCGCATAGTCCTGCCATGACCCCCCATGTTGGGTGTACCCTTGCATTGACTTGCTGGGGAACCAAATCCAAACCTTGGCGAATGGCCTTAAATCAATGACCGCCACAGTGACTCCCCCGAATGAAGGTATGAGAGGCTGATCGTGCTGGAAGGTGTTTGACGGATGGTGATGGCTTTCACTAAAAAGAAGGCTCGCTAATCCCGAAAAGGTCCCTGTCTGCCAAGGACATGTGGAGAGCTCATTGCGTCCGTCCTGATGTACAGCCGACTGGAGCACTGCATAGATGCCCTGCTGGATCTGACAAGGAGCCGGATTTCGGCGCAACAAAATGAGCAGTGCACCTCGGGATTCGGATCATCCAAGTGTACGAAGAGGTTGCGGAGGATGTACCTACGTCGAACAGCCATGGCCCGTTTGCCGAAGCCTTTTGGCTGAACTCGATCTTACAAATGGCTCAAGGCACTCGTAGAGAGTCCGACTCCAGTTGTGTGGCAAGCATTTGAAGAAGACATCCAGCGCCTGCCAGCTTGGAAAGCAAGCAAAGAAGACCATGTTTGTGCCAGCGCCTCACACACCGCCACTCGAATCTTGTCATTGGAGTCATCCAAACGCTTCAACAGCTCAGGATACACCTGGCCAGCGCCCGCACACGCCCGGACATGCCCGTAGAATCACCAGAGACCTTATTCATACCATGGGTGTCCACTGCTGGAGTGCACAAGACATTGCCCGAATCACCCCTTTAGCAAACGAAAGTTCCATCTCGCAAAACCCTCACACGCCTCCCGCAGCTGTTCCCCGTTGATCTCCGCCTGGTTCCGAACGAACCAAGAATGCGAGAGGCCACCAGCCGCTTGAGAGGACCAGTCCTGAAGGTCTGTGAGGGTGCAGGACAGCACCAGACAGGCGACCATTCGGTTGTCTGGAGACCTGAGACCCTTTAAAAAGAGACTCGCCTGATGCGCGAAGCTTCATAGCCAAGTCCAGGGCCAACTATCATCCAGGCAGCTCTTGAGAATCGGCATAAGATCCACAAACACCTTCCATGCACAAGAATCGGTATGCCAGGCAGAAGCTCTCTTCGCCTCGTTCAGGACTGTGGATGGAACCAAATGCCGCCGCAGCAGTGCATGAACGCAGACCTAAAGCTGGTTTTGCACCGCCGGATCGATCTCATGCAACTGCAAGAAACTCTAAAGCTCGCATGTGCAGCATAATTATGAACATATGTTTTCCGAGCGCCTGATCTCCTGGAACCTTCTATCAGAACAAAAGATTTACGCAAGCTGTGAGCACCCAAAACCCGCTTGCTATGAGTTACATCAAGATCCTTGTCGCGGGGTCTTTGCGCCTCGCGTTGAATCCATTGATATGGGTAGCAAAACCGTCATCAATGTCCAACACAAGTGGTTGGCGCTGCAAGAAGCGAGACCAGGATTCTACATCACTGCCAGTTGTCCATTGACATGTTGTCAATCTTTCAATAGAATAATTCTACAGGAGTTCGGCAGCCAAGATTTTGCATTCAGGGCGTGGCTTTAACTCTAGTAAGCGGCGCCAGGGAATCTGGTGGCCACGCAGTACAGTGCACATGGTGCGCATCGCGGACCTTTTTTTCAGTCTTGTTGTCAGGGCCCTTCATCGAGAAACATCTTTTTGCAGTCGCACCCTCAGCGTGCTCCATATAGCTACAAAAACAACACGAGCTGCTCACCGGAGAGAGCATCCAAGAAAAGCAGAAGCAAAGCGAGGTGAGTCTGCTCAAGTGTAGCATGAGAAGACTCCCAGCATGTCTAGCAACCCAGCATCGCTTGCAGCCCCAAATCCTCAAAACCTTACATCTCCAGCACAACTGGCAGCCCCAGCAATCTCAAAATGGCATGTCCGGCATATCCATTCCCAGCATTCCGCACCATCGCAACCCTGTACTACAGGCTCACTTTCATCGTTTGAACAACTGATAGGTGCAACCTGACACGGGTTCAGGCACTGGTGGGGTGACAACCCCTATGTAGTGAGCAGGAGGAAACCTCCGCAGGTCCCGACGCACACCAGCAAAAGTCAACTCGCCAGCATGATATTTACCGAACAAAAGCAACCAGGATTGAAATTGCCACAATTCCAAGTCCGCTTGGAGTCTAAGCAGCCCATCGAAATGCCGCCCGCCGCAGAAAATTGCAGCACCCAAGGCAGCCGCCATGCCACCGCGCCGGATCTTCCCATTCGACTGGCCAGGCCTGGCACAGTGTCAGAGCCGGGGCCCCACCTTCCCTGAACAGAAGGCCTCCAGGAGCAGTTGGGCAGCAAGACACCTTGTCCATGCTCGACTGTTGTGTCAAGGCTTCTTTGGATACACAAAGGAAAGCATGCGAAATAAAGCCTTGTACAACCCATGTTTGGCCGGGCTCCCGATCTTGGCATGAATTTTGATGGGGGCCAACCTCTCAGAATGCTGATACATAAATGCACACGCAACTAAAATGAAGTCCCATTGAAGATCAACCCCGCAAATGCGGCTTTTCCTGTTGGTCCCTTCAATAACGATCGGTGTCCATTTGAGCAGTGCCCAAAACCCACTTGAGTTACCACAACCCATGGTCTTTTGCTCCCAGGTTGGTTGCAATTGAGACCTCCAGTCTCAGCTGCCGGCCATCCAGCAAGGCCAAGGAGTTGGCCTGGATGGCGGACGCCAAGGCTTCGTCCTCGGAGGGTGAGTGTGTCCTTTGGGGATTTGTGGTCATTTCTGGGGAATCTTTGAGAGAAAAATGTCAGAACACTCTATGGGGATTCTGTGAGGACAAAATACGAGATGCTTGGGGATTTGGGGCGACCAAAGAGGGACAAAACGGGGAGTTCTGCCCATTCCTGGGGGAAGTTACGCCGGATTGGTCGACATCTGCACACGTGGTCGCACCTCTGCGACCATTCCGGGTACCCAAAACGCACAGCCATCTCGCCGCCTCTTCGTTCACCAGGAAGTGGACAAGGCCCAGGAGGTCAACTCTGGCCGCCGCGCTGGCATCCTGGAGACCGAGACTTCGCGCCGTTTCAATCCGCGGAGCTGCACGACCGGCGCCAGCCAGGCACCTGGCCTCTGGGCTCGCTTGTCTAGCGAGCACTGGCATCAAGCTGCCGACCTCGCAGCCGGAAGCCAAAAGCCTTTTCACTGCGAGCCTATCAATCTGTTTGGGAAAAACACTCTTCAAAGGTAAAACCCAATCACCAAAAGAAGCATGAGACAGTGGCACCTTTTCGCGCAGAAACGAATCAGACCGAGATAGATGCATGCTCTGCAACTGCCGGGCCAGCATTCCGCAGCCTGGCTTTGCGAGTGCCAATATTCGGCGCGTACGGTGGAAGTTGATGTGCGACCCCCATCTACTTGCGACAATGTGGGGCACATGGGCCACGGGTCGTGCCGTCTTCACTTCAAATCACTGCGAGTATGACCTGCATCTCATGTGAGCTATGGCTGGCAGCCCAAGCCCCTGACAGCGTCTCTAGGATGTGGCGATTTGGACTAGTGTCCTGCGTGGCAAATGTGGCTGTCATCCAAATGCCTGACTCCCGTTGGGGGCAACAGAGTAGCCAACAGAATGTTGACTTCCACAACTCCAACCCCCCGTAGATTCTGACCAGGGCCCGTCTCCTCCCACAGCACTGCATCTGCTCCATGCAGCAGGTCAAGCAAGCGGCTCCTCCGCAAACATCAGCAACTCGTGAGTCCACGAAGAAAACGAAACGCAGCGTCCTGAGATGCTCCTCATAGAGTTGCCGCCTTGACCTGCGCAGTGGACCCAGGCCAAATGGCCGTGGGTCAAAATCCAAATCGTATCCCAAGTGAACATCCCGATCCCCACTAAAGACTGAAATGGGTGGTGCACCTATGTGTGGCATGTGCAGTGTGGGATGGCCCGCCTTCCAAGAAGCTGCGCGAGGTGATCGATATTTGCATCCACGGTCTGTGCGCTACACTCCTGCACACGGCAACGGCGTCTTGAATCGGTGAGAAGCGGAAGCCGAGAGACTGGGTTTAGCTTCGGTCCTCTCCGCTCTTCATTCGCAGCAAGACGTCGAAGACTCTGGGCCACTCGTCGATGCAAGCGTCCTCGCCTCCCATCTTGTTGGGCATTCCGCGCCACAACCCAGCCCCCACAGCCTGCTTTCAGCAAGGACTCGGTCGCAGCCAGCACTGCAGGGAGAAGCTCACTGCGGATACCCTCCTCCAGGTCCGGGCGAATCGACAAGGGGGGTTCAGGCAGCTTCAAGAAGGAAACATCTGGGTTGCGCTTGGCTGTGGGTCAAACCCCTGTACCCCTGGTAAACATCAAAGGTGGCAAATGGATTTTTCCACCCCAAAATGGGATCGCCATATGCAACCCACGGCTCGGAATGAGACTCTGAGACTCTCAGTGTGAGACAAGCCTCCAGGAAGCGGATCGCCAGCTTCACCTCCTGCTTGCTCAGAGGCCGCCGGAACTGGCCCGAAGAGCCCGAGGACCTCGACGGTGACACCAGGAAACCAAGGAAATGGCCGTGGGTCAACACCAATGGGATCCCATTTTGGGGTAGGTGAATTCACCACCCATTTTAGAACCTATTTTAGTGGGGATTGGGATGTTCACTGGGGGTGCAAAATTTTGACCCATAGCCAAATACCGACGAGGACATCAACAAGAGATCAGTGGGCAGAATCCAACCAGAAAGCAGCTGCGAACAGGGAACCCGCAGTACTACCAACAAAAGACCAACCGGAAACACGACAAGCGAACAAAAATTCAGAAATCAACAAAAGAAACAGCAAGCCAGCAAGAGGCCAATAGCAAACCAACCCAAAAAACAGCAAGACCAACCAAACAGGAAACGAAACCCAAGCCAACAGGGCACCAGCTCTAAACCAACAAGAAGACTACAGGTGCCCAACAGGAATTCAATGCAGACCGACATGAGAAATGGAAAACCCAAGCCTAGCGGGGCGCGTTGGGGCCCCGGGCGGGTGCAACAGCCTGGCCAGGACGATGAAGACCTGCCGCCGCGACTCTGCCTGAGCTCCGAAGGCTTGAGAACGCAAATGGACGGTTCGGATCTGGGTGTGCATGGGTGGTCCAAACAGCGAAACCGAAATGACTTGCGGTTGGTTTGACTCACTTGCAACAACATGCTGGCACACTTGCGCGAATAGAACGAGCCTGCACAGGTGGGGAAAGGTGTGGGCAATTACCTCTGGTTGAACACATTGACATGCCTCTTCAGCTTGCAGCCATGATATCATAGATGTGCTTCCTTGCTTGTGCTGTTTCCAGCACTTCATTCACACTACCAAACAAGCCAATACAAACTCTCCTCCAATACCTGTCTCACGAATGTGAGGGACGCAGCCCCTACCTGTCCTTCTGAGCCCTTCTCACTTGGACCCACCATCAGTTGGGGAGCAAGCCTGCGACATGAGAAAGCAGGGGCAAGGAGACCGACAGTTTTGGGGAGGGGCACCCCTCGGGTACCCATAGCTTGGATTGGTTTGAAGACCAGTTCCTTTTGCAGCGAAATGGGGAAGGTAGCTGAAATCCAAATCGTCTTTCTGGTTCCCAGCTTTGATGCAACTGCATCCCTACTGTTTGTTAGGCCTGGTCAAAACCACTTCCAGCGCTTGCAGCCACACAGATCTCATTGTTCTGATTGGACTTATTGCGTCCTTCCTTGCATAGGTTCCCAAGCCTTTCCGAGGTCCGCAACTTCCGTTTCTCCGCTTCTTCTTCGTATCGGTATTCATCGCAAGTGTAACCAGGCTTTGTGTTTTGGGACCTGAAGATGTGCGCTTCGCCCCTGAGGGTTGTGCATATTGAGCCCTTAAGTTAGCGACCCCCCAAACAAAACCGACATGGCTGTGTCTCCAAAAGCGTTTCGGTGAAACTTCTCAATGACTTTTGTGCCCGAAGAATGGTTGTCCCCACAATTATAAGTCTTGCTGTCTGAAGACTAAAAGACATGCTCGCACTGAGCACCAATCTTCAGGGCATCTACAACTTACTAACTTGGCATGTAGCAGCCATGACTGTAGGATTACAAGAGATACAACTGAAAGCGACCCTGGCAAATTGCCTTGGCTTCTGAAAAAGCGCAAACAAATGCAATCGCTTGGCTGAGCAGGCTGCGGTTGTGGCCGCAAAGGTCTTCACGCCGGCAAGTACGTCCTGCAGGGTTCTGATCAAGGCACACACTTAAACGTAGAGAGTCCAAGCAAGTTCTCTCACCCGAAACAGCTTTGCACAGCGCGCCTGCACGGTGCGTGTCGTCTGACCTCGGATGTGTTGTGAGAATCCAAGGCGCAGTGCCCGGGGCGGCCCTGCTGAGGCGCTGGCGGCCCTGCCGGTCTTGTGGCCAAAGCTCATCAAAGGAGGTGCCTTTCCTGTCGCCTCGCACAGCTGAGAGGCCAAAATCCAGTGACTTTTGGTTCTCACATGGGCATAGAGCTTTACAAAGGCCTTGCTACAACTTCAAGGAAACCATCTACTAAAATGGCCAATGGGGTTAAGCAGCAGCTGACGGAAGCTGTGGTCTTGCCCCATAGCCCACGCCTTCATGCTTCAGGCCCAGCTGTTTGCCCACCACCTCCAGCACCTGAGGGCCGTGCTCTCACCTTGAACCATCTCCGGCTGGGGCCCAAGCCATCTCAGGCCCCAGGAAAGTGCCGACCATCGAGGCGCAAAGCAGCGACGTCTGTGACACCTTTGAGTCGTCGTCTGCCTGCGCCTGCGCCATGCGCATTCCTTTGCAAACAAATCCAGACCAAGTCCTGACCCCCCAATGTTGCAAGTATCCGTACATGCAGCATGCCGCACGACATGCGGAGAAAACTGCTGTTGTTGATCCCAGCGCCGCCTTGTACATGTGCACCAGCACTGCATCCAAGTAGGGTGCTATCTGCTTGTTTGCAATTACCTCAGCAGTATTGCAGCTGGCGCAAGTCAAGCTCCTCTTCAGCTTGGTCCCTGACGAGCACTACTTGAAGCAACCGGGCCTGTCCATCGAGTTGACAAGAGCCAACTCATGGTTTTGTGTCTGATTGCTGGCTTGGAGCTCTCTTGCCTGCCCTGCCACATGGGGCATCCAAGCTGAGTCCAGTACTGCTGCTTCTCTGATGTCAGTGGTCCACTGTGTAATATTTGTCAGCACCTGCACGCTGAAACCATGGCTGCCATCACTACGCAATCCACGCGCCATGCCTGCGGCAGGATGGTGCCCAAGTGGAACTTGACCTTGTGCCAGGACTTGCAGCAGCACGTTCGCGCTTCACGCAGGAGGAGTTTCTGTTTTAGGCATGGTCCGTAGCAGTGAAAGTTGGAATTTCACTCATTGACGCTGGGGGATGTTCCGCGCTATTGGACAGCGGAAAGGAAACCCCGGCATGTAACCTTATACCCTAGTATGGGTTGGTATCGTTCTTTTCTTCCTCTGCATCTAGTTGCAGCGTTTGGCATTTCTTGCGCGTTTGCAGCACAAGTGTAGTATACGAAGTACACTTTTGGAAGGTTTTGAGTACAAGTGTATGGTGCAGTATACGAGGTACATTTTGGCAGCTGGAACCGGAAAACACAACTTTTCAGTAAAGTGTAGTACACAAAGTACATTTCAGCAGATCCAGGGCAGCAGGTTGGATCCGGCATGGCGGCTAATGAATTGGGTATCGGTTGGGCATCGGTTTGGTTGTCGGTTTGGGCCCTGCAAATTTATGATTTCGCAATCTTGGTTTGCGACGACACCTTGGACCTGATATGTGATGGCTTTTACAGGAATCGTGTTTTTTCCCTCAGCATCGGTTTACCGTGTTCCGGGCCTGCAAAGAAAGTTACGGGGCGGGCCCTTACAGAACGAAGAGGCGCGGGTTTCCTTTCAACCCAGCTGGCTTTTGATGTCAACCTTGGACATAGCTCTTGCAGTTTGTTCAGAATGCGGTCCAACAACTCGTCAAACATGGCCGTGAATTCCAAATCGAAATTGTCCAATATTGCCAGAGTCTGAATCCAAAAAAGCTTGACCAATCGGAACGCTGAAGGATGGGCTTCCGGTAGCTTCGCAAGGGCGACCCAATTCCCACCATTCACCACCCAAGCCATTCAAACCTTGCAATGCAATGGAAGAAATGGCTGTGGCTCAAAATACCGGTACCAAAATCAAAATGGCCACCTTGGCAAATGGAACCAAAGACTAAAACCCGCGTAACCCTAGCTCCTTAATTTTGAGCCACGCCCAAATGGGCTCAGGGCCTCATGTTCCCCTGGCACTATCCCCCTGTCACTTGGGTCGCCGCGTAGGTGGTGGTCAGCGGAGCGGGTAGGCGACCCTGGAAGGGCTGTGGCAGCAGCGGCAGCACCTGGGTGTAGTCGAAGGCCGCGACCACCTCCGGTCGAGTGGGAAACTGAAACTGCCTATGAAACCAATTTGGGCCAAGGGTACCCTTTCAAAACAACCAACTGACAATGCCCTTTAATCATTGAGGGTACCCTATAACCGTGAGGTTCTTCCTCTCTGGTTTCCATCCAACACAACAAAGGGTACCCTCTGTAAAGAGGCCAACGCCATTGAAGATTGGTCCCACGCATGAATCGGCTTCAACATGTTTCAAAAAACTTGAACACATTGGTTCCCATCCAGCCGGAGGCATCCACGCTCGGCGCCTCGGGATCTTGACACCTGGGATTGGTCCGCTCCACCTCGAAGCGCTTTGCTCCGAACGGCCTTCATGTGGTCATGGGTCAAAAGCCAAGTCGTGGCCCCAGTGAACATCAACCAATTCCCACTAGAATAGGTTCGAAAATTGGTGGCCCCAAAATGGTACCGCTGGTTTTGGCCCATGTCGCACAGTGCAATCGATAAGGCCTGCGCCCCGTCCTCCTCTTTGTATCCTGCCTAAGAGCAATGCCCCATCTGCATCACGGAACAAATACATGCAGCGCAAACTCCCGAGCATAGCGTGGGTGTCGCTGTGATATTGACACTCCAGTTGGTGAGCACTCCCCGAACCGGTCCGCCTTCGCCTCCCTCGCCTCCTTGGCCTTTTGTTTGGCTTCCTGTCGGTCATGAGGCCATGAAAGGTGTACCCAGAAGTTTGGGCTTGGCACGTGCACTTCGAACAACTGCTTCTGCTTCTTGCTCTCAACTCTCTCCTCGCGCTCCCGTTCCTTTGCGGCACGCTTCAAGAGAACCTGGCGGCCCAAGGAAATGGACAAAAACACCTCGAGCACACCACGCCTCGTGCTTCAGCGCAGCCACACGCTCTAGGCCACCCAAAGCAACGGCGCCCACCTAGGTGCTCTCCAACAGCCGTGCTCTTTCCCTCTCTCTCTCTCTCACTCTTCTCCGAAAGTTTTGTGTTTCTGTGGCCGAAAAGTCCTGCCATGGATGATGAATAGAACGCGCTCTTGTTCCCAGAATCTCTGACCTTCGCATTTAAAGGCCACCCTGCCTGTTCTGCCTCTTCATCCGCTGCCACACCTGACCAATTCAACCTTTGCAATGATTATCCACATAACTCCTAAGGTCCTAAAAAGGTTGGTGACGATCAAGTACAAGGGTGAGTGTAACCATGGTACATGTGGGTACACTGGCCTAGGAGCAGCAACACCAGGCGCGACTCGAACTTGTCGAAACCCTCGGGCCTGAGTCCCAGCCCGAATTTAGGCGTAGAATGTCGAGGCAAGGGACATGTTCAATTTGGCCATCGGGCATAACCTACGGCTCCATTTTTTGGGGTGGATGAACCATCTATTTTGCTATTCACCAGGGGTACAGGGTTTTGACCCACAGCCATTTCAAGACTGGTTGCTGTGTCATCCATACGAAACCTGTGGCACGCGCCCATCATCAAAACTCATTGGCGGTCGGAAGCTCAATCCTTTCAGCAGCCACCTGCGCTATGCTCAGTGCCACTTGGGTGTGGGTCAAAATTTTAAACCAACAGGATATGGACCGCAGGTTTTGTTCCATGGTGCCACTTACCA